TTTCATTATGAGTATTTCACAAAATGTTGACCTATTCCTTGGCCCCACCCCCAGCTTGACATGCTAAATCCTTACATGACCATAAAGCCACATATACAGGGATGTGACCTTCCTAATGCTGGACAAATTACACCTAAGGCACCTCTACCATCTGCTCAGAATCCAGAGCACTGACTCATTATATCACTGATGGAATAAGGTTATGTAAAATAAAAGAACAAAGAGTACAGGTATATCCTTTGTCTTTATGAAAAGAACAAAGTCTTGGTTAAAACACAACAGTAAATGAGGAAAAAAGCGACTATCAGCCCAACCTTCATATTATGAGTCATGAACAAGAGACGCTCATGCTTATTCAGTGTGTCCACTGAGGTGTGCAGTCTCTTCATTTAATATTTCCATAAGGTTGCATATGAGTGTACGCCAGGCAATCCCTGTAATAAGGAGGTAATGTATTCTGTGCCAATGGCAAAAAGGTACGCTTGAAACATCCCTCACAGGAGCAGCAGTTTTCAACTTGACAGTGGACACATACATAATTAAGCCAACTAAAAAAATGAATATTTCATCTCAAAGCATTTTCATCTCCAAACATCAAAACACCTCAACGTCTCACATAATGAGCAAGGTAAATTACTTCTATTCACAGAGGGAATAGGCAAGAAGGAATGCTCACTCAAGGTACTGCGCTTACAAATATATCAGTTTGAGGAGAACTTACAACACTTCTTCTTTGTATTTTGCAAGAATTATTGAATGTCTGTGGAGGAAATGCAAATTCTTTCCTATGATTGTTGCCTAACCATTTGTATAAGCTGCAATTGTGCTGTTATGTTATATTATAGTGTCAGCTTCAATGCTTTGTAGCCTGATCTGATCATAACTCATGCTGACCTGTAATTCATGGCATGTCATCCATACGTCGCCTAAGGATACTTGGGTTTACACAAGCCAATGGAGAGGATGGATTATTCCATAACCTCCCAGTAGTTTGATTTGACTAGTGTGGTCTATTGGAGTATAGCTTTTGCTAAAGATTCCTCTCCAATTCAATGATGGCATAGACGCTTTCATATGTCAGAGTTTCCAAAGAATAGGTTGTTTAATGATGGAGCTTAAAGGTCTCCTATCATGCAAAATACACTTTTTGATGTCTTTTATACATAAATATGTGTTCCCGCGGTGTGTCTGTAGACTCATAAAGTGTCCGAAAATAAAACCCTCTCTCTTTTGCTCCTTACCCACATCTCTAAAAACGGGAGTACAATGGAGCTGATCCAGATTTGCTGCCGATATTACGTGATATCGGAAATGTGCCCACGGCCCTATCAAAAACAATGCGCGACGTGTTTTGGAAGCAATATGGTCTGTGTTTACATTAGCAAGCATCGCTCACACTCAGAGCTAACCAGGGTTGGGAGGGTTACTTTGTAAATGTAATCAGTTACTGATTACTGAATACATGGCTCTGAAAGTAATCCGAATACAGTTACAGTTACGTGTCTTAAAAAAGTAATCAGATTACTTTTAGATTACTTTCTTTTTCCATAACAGATGGGTATGTTTTGGTGAACAGGAGACACAAAAAGCAAAAGGAAACTGAACGTGTTTTTACTGTTTTAATGGCTTATCAAGAGCACAACTGAAACACAACATCTGAAACGATGTAACAACATAATAAACTTGTTGGGGATGCAGCTTGGGATGTGAGGAGTGAGGGACACGGCTTAGAACGGGCGTGTCGCCTTCTGTCCTGCCAGTGTTGGCAGGACATGAATTAAAATGTCGAACTCGGACTTCATTTTAAGGACATTTCGGCCAGGGGTGTAGAGCTATATTTGTTTAAGCACCGGATTGGCAAAACAGGAGACTGTGCACCAGTCTGCCTTGAGCTATGAATTCATGTCCGTGACACTCACAGATCTGCTGCCCGCAGCTGTTTTATAGAAGGAAAACCTCCTTCACTTCATGAAATCTCTGCAGCGCCAGGAGGCAGCGGGAGGGTTAACTCAGCCCCAGAAGAGGAGCGCGCAGTGCCTTTCACGCACCGCCTTCACTGTGTTTACCTTCAGAATCATTAGAAAGGCTAAAGAGCGGTGTGGCTGATGTGTTTTAAACACACACACACACACACACACACACACACACACACACACACACACACACACACACACACACACACACACACACACACACACACACACACACACACACACACACACACGCGCGATTTAAACGCAGACTTTTGTTCCTCCATGTTTCGTTGTTGTTGTTTCACTGAGCGGACCCGCCACTTTTTTTTTTACAAACGCTCCCTTTTTTGGTCCATCTGCAGTGGTAATAGGTTTTGTGCGCTGTGATGATTCGGCTGTACCTTTAGTAATGAATATTAAATGTTGTGAGGAAATCTTTCCACCAATAATTCCAATAAGTATGCCTAATCCAAAATGTATTCACTTCAGGTTTACGAAAGTAACTGTAATCAGATTACTCGTTTTTCAAATGTAACGCGAGCTGAATACAGTTACTTGATTTTTGTATTCTGATTACGTAACGCTGTTACATGTATTCCGTTACAACCCAACCCTGGAGCTAACGCTGTACTGTAGAGAGTATGTGTAAATCTGCAGGATATAAAAATGGTATACTCACCTTGATTTGAAAAGCTACGGAACCAGAAACAGCACTTCTCTAACAGGCTGAAATAGAGGGGTATGAGGCATGGCTAGAATGGGTGATCTGTTTGGTATTTTGAGCAAAACACTTCATAAACATGTTTTTTATATATCTGAGACCTATAATATATGCCTAAAAATTGTAGGAGACCTTTAAAATGCATAGGTGCATAGTGCTACAGCAGCACCACTGGAGAGAATTACTTTGACCGTCAAACCTGACTCAGACTGGCTCCCTGAACACCTTCATAGATGGGAATTAACCTGCCACCGCTTGAAACGCTTTACTGAGCGCTGGTCGATACTGTCATTATCCTAAAGCAATTCTTAATTCTATTTGGCCCTGAGCTAAAGATTCTTGTATTGATCACAAAGTAGGGAGGCCACAACTACTTTTTTCTCTGAATGTGCTGTTAAAAAAAAGCTCCTAGCTAGTGAATTTTCTTTAAAAACATGTTTCAAAGGGATACCCGAGGAGTGTTACAGTTACAAGGCACACGGTCCAGTGAGTGATACCTCAGTGTTTCATCAAGGGTAACAGAGAAAGGCAACTCTCTTTCATATCCTGTTTTGGCGAGATGAGAAATATTGATATTACTCGCCGAGCACTATCAGTGTGAAACAGAGCCTTTCAGAAACGCAGCAGTGACAACACCTGTACTGAAGTTCCTGATTACATGTCTTTGTTCTCAATGCTTCTGTCACTGCTGCTGCGTGAAAGACACTCACAAGGAGACAGAAAAAGACGCAGAGGAATCCTGAGTAGCATGAATACATCTTATACTGTCTGTCTGTCATCCACAAACACAAACAAACAGTCAGAGGCAGAAAGCATCGCCACCTGGCACGGTCTGTACACGGAGGCCTGTGACAGTGGTTAACAGAAGAGGACATGTGTAGCCCCAGGTGACTCAAATTGCAAAACTAACAACACTATGCTTCATTGCACCAAGAACGTGGTGTGAAATACCAGTAGAAAGGGCGTATGTGTATGTGTGTGTGTGAATTCACATGCATGGCTAAATGTGTGTGTTTATGGGTATGCATTTGTGTCATCATAACAGATCCTATAATGTATGGTTATAATTGATAAGGACTTCATTAGAATTATAAAGGCTGACTGAACAGCAAAAACAAACAACAAGAAAATAAATCATTGGAAATCTAAATGTGATATTTATTTTCTTTTGTTATTGCAGTTAGAATAAAATATGAGTGGGACAATTGCAACAAGAACACTTTTTGTGTTATATGATATTCACAACTGTATTAACAGGAAGAATTTTAGCATAGCAGCATTCAATTAAATACGCCATTGAATAATTGAAATAAGTATGAGTATACTGTATGTGGGTGTAGACATGAATGTACATTATGTGTATAACAACATGTTAAATGTATGTCTAAAGTGTGCCTGTAGCTTAAGCTTTCATTCTAAAGATAGAATTGTACAAGATTTGGAAACATCCTAGACCAAGATATATAAATTTAGTTATAAATCAAATATTGATATTACAAACTAATTTGTAATAATTATAACTCACACTGGGCTTTAACTTAGCTTTGGGTAGTTTTTCTATACAGTCATTCAGTTCACAAACTTAGTTTTCATACTTATGATGCTTATATTTGACATGTACATTGAAGTAGTCCACTCAGGTGTTGAATCTGTGAAAATAGAGATCAGTGATATTTGATTGCAACTTGGTCTTGAAATTAAATTCAGGAGTTCAAGTTTTGTCGGTGCATAAAAATGAACTCTACCCCTAACAGCACCTACAATAAAAGCATATCAACTCACCTTTTCTTAATAAAGTAGCCTAGTGGATACCTAGCCTACTTCTAGCCCCATTGCCTATTCTGTCATCAAAAGGGTGAGTATGAAGGTGTATGTGTTTCTGCACATTACGGCAAAGTTACCTTATTGTTAAAGCGTGTTATAGAAACCATTTATATCAAAGCTTTTTGATATTTCTACTGTCCTCTCAGCTGTCTGACAGTGACAGCACTGTGCTGTTCTGCTACAGGTTATACTACTACTGCAGCGCTCATTGGATGCATTGACAGAGCACAGCAAAGTAGGTCCCGGATTTTAACGAGCCGTACCATTTCTCTCTACACGGGGGTTCACAGTGGAAAGTGACCGCAGGAGGTTGCTTCCTCACACCTCTGAAACACACATTACTCACTCAAACACAAACTTTACTTACCTTTATATCTAGTCAATTATTTTGGTACGCATCAAATTAAGAAACATTTGAAAAATTACGCGGTTCTTTTCTATCCCCCCGCTGGATCAAGTCAACGGTTCGGCTCAAAATGGCTGGAGAGAAACAGTTAGGAGGATCGACGGTTCTGCCTGGTATTTACGAAAAATGAGCCTATCTTAGCTTGAAGGCGCTTCCTCCACATAACTGGGGATCCAGGTGAGACATGTTTAAAGTTAATCCAACATTTACACCCAGCCCGCTGCTGTTGGAGAGAGTAAACGAAAGCAAACAGGGCTCGTTTGCAATGTTTTCACGCAGCATTTACATGCAGCATTGAGGACCTCTGGCTAAAGTCTCTAATTTACAGAATTAAAAACAGCTTCAAACTCAATTCACAGTCGTCAGTAGTTGTAGAGTTTACTGAAGTTGCACGTGCAATAAACAGTAGAGAAATACACTTATACATTATTGTCATACATTGTTTATGTGTGTAGCTAATGCTCAGCAGGCCTGCGGCTAACCCTGCAGCTGTGCATCGCTGAAATACGTCATGAGGCTATTTTCCCGCAGTTTGATCCGTGCACATATATCATCGAGATCAGAGAAATGTGCAAACACACACATTGCACGGCATTTTATTTTTGCACTGTGGGCTGCAACCCCCCTTCTGTCCTCAAGTCTCCTGCTGAATGTCAGCTGTGGTGGAGTTGCACCTGTACTCTGACGTGATCAAGTTAGTTTGGTATTCTTTATGTAGTCATTGTGTATAGAGTAGAACAATGAATTGGTTGCACTTCGATTGATTATCTTTGATTAAAGAATATAAGATGAATTCAAACTACTGGTATGGACATAACTATTGTTGTTGACATAATAACAAAAGCTGAATCTAGTCAATCATCTGTTACATAGCATGAATGTAAATCAGCAAGACGTAATCTATTTAAACAGAAGGTGTAATGCAGTTTTTATTGACTGATTCGTATCTTATTGCACTTTATATATTTACATTTATAACTACAGTAATGCAGATTGGACCCATGCAACAGTTTTGAACTTCTGTGTGCATTTCATATGTGTCAATCTATTTTCTATGGATCTTTAAGGATTCTTTGCATCAATGTGATAAAGGGCCTTCTTCTTTTAAAGTTTGTTTTATGCCAAAGACTGATCTTTCCATTTATTTGGATTCTAAATGGATATTTCAGAACTACAAGCTAAAACAGTGTGATAGAAGATTGTACTCTTATTTCCCACCAGTAAAGGCCCTTATCATCTTTTAAATAAGTGCTTACAGTTATCAATTTCAAAGTTGTTATATAATATGGAGCACTGCATGATTTGTGGTGAATAACAATACAGGTGCTGCTTTCAGTTAAAGGCCCTGACACACCAAACTGACACCAAAGAACACGTCCCGACAGACCCGACTGTTGTGTCGCCTCACGTCTCCTCACGTCTCCTGTGTCTTGGCCAACAGTCGCACTGGAACACACCGCAAATACTTCAGCCAACGGCCAAGTAGCACGTACGCACTGCGCATGCGTGAGTGGCAATAACTCTCCTTACAAGCAGGCGGCGGTGGTTTGTATTCGTCATTCAAAAGAGGCAACCGGAATACAGATTGCGTGATACAAACAAAAAATAGCTTGTGCGTTCCATTTGACCTCTCGTCCATAACAGACTGTTTCACAGACTGTTTCACATAGCGACTTATAATCGTATAATTCTTGCGTCCAGGTGAGATGAAAATAAAATAATTAAAATAATAGACGGCCAGACATCTATCGACGGCCGAAATCGGCTTGGTGTGTCAGGGCCTTTAGCAGCATAATTTGCATCTGTTATAGGGCTGCTTTAGACCCCATTTACACGGGAGCGTTTGTGTTTACGCACATATGCGTTTTCAAAAAAGTATTCCGTTCACACGCATTCTGCTCAATTAACTTGTCCGTTCACACGAGACCGCTGGAAACGCTGAAGTACATATGCCGGGCCTGTAATTGGCGGTGCTGCCGCCACAAAATACACCAAAAGCAGCGAAGAAGACCCAGGAGCATGGTTGCCATGGTTGCCCTTCTGTTTATTCTCCGTGGTGTGTGCTCCTGCTGTAAATGTCTCCGGTAGTCCACCAGCAGATGAAAAACACCCACCTCTCCGCCTCTCACAAGGGACGAGGGAACCATGCGGCAGAGTTTCCGTTAAAACATTTTTTTCCGCCTGTCAACATGTCCGTTAAAGTTTAAATCTTCCGGACAAAATTAGAAAAGTGCCGGTCAGAGGTCTTCTTTGTTATTTATTGAGCACAAACTAATTGATAACAACTCTACATATTAATATAAGAATAATAAACGGAGTCTCTCTATTCCTCCCCCTCTTCTGACAGCCCAGCAGCTGATCTCTGAGCAGGAGACGTGGGGAGAGGGAGGCGGGGCTATTTCATCGTTATCAACAAATGATCGTATAGAGGCTTAAACACGGAGCCATTTGCCCCCCCAGAGCGTTCCGTTTGCAGATCTATCCAACTTGGGACCCGTTATCGTTTGCGGGGTCCGTTTCTATCGTTTTGTTACGGCCTCGTGTAAACGAAAGGGCTATACGCAAGATAAACTATGCGGATACAACCCGTATCGTCCTCGTGTAAACGGGGTCTTAGACATGCATGTGCTTATGTTTTCTGCTTTTGACACGATTCCAGATAACTCTTGTAATGCACCAGCCAGGGCTAAAATGACTTGTTATCGACTACACCTGACATTACTTATTGACACTATTACGCACTGTACTTTCTGTCACTGTGAGAGTAAAAAAAAAACGTACTTTTAGGTATTAGATACCAGGGGTAGACATTAAGGGTAAAATGCCACTGGCCCTCCGGGCCGGTGGAATTGTATTGTCAATGGCCCCACCATTGTAACCACTGGCCCGGAGCATTCGTCCAAAAAAAATCGACTAATAATGAAGAAAATTAACACATTTGTTGCAATAGTAATTCATGCACTAACTACATTACTACTTGTACTACAACATTTGAATCATCAGTTCTTCTCATTTTCCTCAATTGTTCATTATTTGGTTTATTAAAATAAGATGATTTGTGGTCATTGTTAAAACATTTCTGGCTATTATTTATGCGTATTATGAGTATTATTATTTGTATAATGCGCTTTCTGCCTTCCTGTCATTAGGAGTTAGACATGTAATGGCTATGTATTAGATTAGAACCTTCGTTATCCTAAACTGCTGGGACATTTCCCTAAAGCCAATACCTTTATATGTTCTACTCTTCACTTGTCAGCATAGGTCGGCATTGATGTACAGAGCCGACAGAAGACCTTGTTTATATTGGCATCATATTGAGAGGTGCAGCCAGTGACGCGTCCTAAAACCAGGAAGTAAGCCGCTGGTTCCCTCGACAAAAAAGCAATGGGATTTCTCCTCACGGTTTTGGAAAATAGCTGGAAATAAGGTCTGTGGAAAACAAACCTGTTTGATAAATGCACGTTTTGTTCAGCCGGATAATCTCCACATGTCTATCCTACTTTTATAATTTTCGAATCATAAATCTAATCGATAGATTATAAAAGGGTTTTAGGACGCGTCACTGCACCACTAGAAGCCAACTCCTCAAGCTCAAGCTGACTGAAACTTTCTCTCACTCTTCTTCTCATGCTCCCCAACACTGGGGAGCATGAGAAGAAGAGTGAGAGAAAGTTTCAGTCAGCTTGAGCTTGAGGAGTTGGCTTCTAGTGGTGCAGTGACGCGTCCTAAAACCCTTTTATANTAACATTAAATAAAATAATAAAAATATTTTATAAAAAATAAAAAAATCCCAATCCCCGATTTTTTTCTCCCGATTCCGATCTTTTGAAAATCACGTGATCGGCTCCGATCCCCGATCACGTGATCAGGACATCTCTAATGGCAAATCACATCTAAACTAGGCAGACATATGGCATTACTTTGGGGAAGAGTAATGTTATATATTTTGTTATACTTTGAACAGCTGTACAAGACTGCTGTGGAATTACAACAGGTTGACCTCTGACCCCCACCCTGCCTGGTGTATGCACGCTGTATTTACAAGGCTTATGTTTACTCTGCTGAGGTGCTCCTGAGCATCCCATAAATGTGCCGAGATATACGACTTGAGGTAAATAAAAACGTATGTTTGTATGGAACTTAAGTGTGATTAACGCTGTCGCACAAAATGAGAAGAAAAACAACCCCTATCTTAAGTAATAATATTTTCATAGAAAAAACATTACAGACTAACTGTAGATGGAGGGAATGTGAGCCTAATATTAGCAGACTCTGTTCTGGGCGAAGGAATGTCCTCCCTTACCCTTAATAGCTGTAGCCTTGGCCTAAATGTATTATTATTTCCGATGATGTAAATCTAATCTAACATTAGCATGGCAAATGAGACTGTGCCGGGACACTGCGGAATAAAATAGCCAAATACAGACAGGAGTACACATGCAGTCAGCTCTGTTGTTCAGTCCGTGACAGTCCTACAGACCCTGGAGCTCAGGAGCGTTTCTCCCTCTACAAACAGCTCTGCTCTACAGCCCCAGATGTCTCATTACTGTAAAACAAGCGGGGAGATGAGCGACGTACAAGCCACTGGCCCAAAACGCTGCCTCCCTTTCAATTAGGGAGGATTAGCCCAGCCTGAGCAGGCCTTCCTGTGATGCGATATGTTGCCTTGGATCGCACAGGACAGCCATATGTTGGACCTAAATAAATTACTGAGAGCTTGGCAGGAGCAGAAAGGGAGTTATGGCTCCACAACAGGCTTAATAGGAGGAGGATGCTGAGGCCTCTATAAAAGTTGACACCCTATGAAAAGGCATGGGCAGAGACACAGGTATACACCTACCCTCACTGACGCTCGTAAATTAGACCTATAGGATCCCACAATTCCTCAATAGATTTACTCAGCGTGCATTAATCAAGCGATAAAGCCAAGTCAGTGAAATTTCTGCAGTGTCATGCTTTGGCTAAGCCACCTGTACTGATCCCATCCAGTCCAACGTAGTGTAGGATACGGCATAGCGAGGGCCCTCGTACCACTGCCTGCATCACTCACTTTTATGGGAATAGGGCGGCGTGGGGTTTAACAAGAGGTTTTACTCGTCAAGGGAACCGACATTACATAACCATAAAACGATGAGCTCCACAAATCAACAGTGGACTTGTGACGCATGCTAGGG